TTAGCCAACAAAGTCCTTGCATAATTTGTTTCTGCTTGTTTCAGATGTTTTATGTAAAAAGTACAAAACAGATTTTAACAATTTATTATCATGTCTCTACTGTTGCTGAACGCAACAGTAAATTTGTTCCTATTCATTTCTCAAAGACAGTGACATATTTTAATCTGAATTAAAGAACAACATCTCAAGGCGTGAAAAAGTGATTGAAAGGCTTCCAGCAAAACCATGGTGGAGGAACGACGTGAACACAACTGTTTAATGTGAAGTGCGATCGACAATAAATACTAGCACAGCAGGTCAGAATCTTTGCCTTTACATGGCACATAACAACACTGTAGGCCATCCTCTACTGGATCGAATATATTATGACGATACATATCAACGGGTAAGAGTTTGAGTGAAACGATAGTAAAGAGATGACAGTAACAAACATTTACATATATAGGTACATGGAAGGTATACAGTATCAATCAATGATTAGATCGGCAATAAAAAAATGCTATGATTCAAGAGGACAAGAGAACTAAAAGATTGAAACAGAAGTTTAGGCCGTAGGGACTAGTTCACGCACTGATTGGTCCGTTGAGCATCACCCACCATCCTAAACATCCTACACCAAACACAAATGACTTTAGGCAACCTGATTGTTAATTTCCAAAGTATGTGATATATGAACCGGTTATTTAGCGCATTTTTCATAATTGGATCAAAGCAATGTGCATGATTTCTTCTGCTTGAGCGGTTTTGGATTGATAACGGCACGGACAGCGTCCTCGAACACCTTGATAATGGAAGTTAGTTTAATGATTAAAAGTGCTCAAACGATCTGCAAACTTGTTTGAGGCCTTGTTGTGTGAGAGCGGAACATTCTAAGTACTTCACAGCTTTTATTTTCTGCGCACACTTCTGTCCTTGGCTTTTTGTGATGGGCGGTCTGTCCTCAGTACCAGTGGAGCGTGGATTCGCCTCGTCTCGCAAATCCAGCTTTGTACCTAAAAGTTTGTATAAACAACTGAAAGGATGTGAAAAAGTACACACTAAGCCATTCTCACCAACAAGCAGAATGGGCGCATCTGGGCAGTGTTGGCGTATTTCTGGGATCCATTTGGTCGCCACATTATCAAAGGAGACAGGAGAAACAATACTGAAGCAGAGAACGAACACATCTGTTTGGGGATAACTCAGCGGCCTGAGTCGATCATAATCTTCCTGCAACAATTAAAGCATAAAAGGAAAACTACGAATCAAAGAATTTTTTGCTTTGTATGATTCGTTTTTCCTCTATACACACCACTTAGTCATGCGAACAGGGAGAATGTAGCAGATGCGTAATGCGAACAAGAGGATGACTAACACTCAGAGAAAAAGTTCTCGATGACAATAAAATGCTAAATATAATCAACAATACTTGGAATCAACCGTTTAGCCATAATAAATCAAAAATATACAGTGTTTACAGAAATGATCCTCGTTCAAAACCAATACCAAGTAACCGAAGATGGAAAATGCCTATGCGATGAAGGGATTTCCGGGCAGGTTCTACTCTATTCGCGAAGTGTGGTCACCGTCGCTACTCGTAGCAACTGGCGATCGTCTACATCAGACCACAATCGAAACGTACGAAAGCTGAGTAGTTGGGGTCAGCGAGGGCGAACCCAAGTCGCTAAGAGTGTAGCGATCTTAAAAGCGATTGCTCATCTTGACTGCAAACCCTAGCGACGCATTGCTGACCGTTCATAACCAAAGACCTATGAAACATGGGCACTTTCAGCGATGGCGATTCATAATGCTATACTCCTCGAACAGAGTAGACCAAGAACAAAAATGATATTTCAACCTGTTTAAATCGGCTGCAGTTAGACGAAACTTGGAAAAAAACCCAGAGCTAGTATTGTGCCCAGCTTCTGAACTAGTAAAAAGATTACAACAAATTATGAGATATAGAAGTTATAGCAATGATAGCTACTAAAAACAAAATTTCGCTGAAAATGAAAGAATATGGAAAATGTTTAACTAAAAGAGTTATTTTCGATCGTTCATTCCTTCATCGTTACTTCGATCGTGTGGAACTAATGCCAGTTTATCATTCGTCATCCTTTGAATCATTCAAATAAAAGAAGGTCATAGTGAATATGCAACGTCATCACTGGCATTGATTTTCGTATTTCGAGAACTAAAAACTAGTAAAACACTTGAAGAATTATCTCCTGATCAATTGTAAGATAAAAGGTGAAAACAAAGTAGTGAACTAGCTTAAAGTCGAAGAAAAAGCAATTGCATAAGAACTATGTAGTCAAATCTGAGAACAAGATGCACCTGTCCCGCAGTATCCCATAAACCGAGATTGACAGTGTGGTTATCTAATGTCATTTGAGCAGAGTAGTTGTCAAACCTAAGAATTACAATTAACAATATCAAAGCGAAACGATAGAAGAAAACGAACTTACACTGTAGGCACATACTGAACAGGAAATGAGTCGGTAGTATATGAAATTAACATACAAGTCTTACCAACAGTGCCGTCTCCCACAACAACACATTTTATCTGCCTCGAAGGGCTAGACATCCTGAAAAGAACTTATTTTGTAACTACGCGAAGTTAGTAGAGATAAGTGAGTGCAGACATAAGCAAACAATTTTAGGAAAAAGATAAACGAAAGCTCTATTAGGACAAATATAATGTCAAATCAAATGAAAGGAAATTTTTTGACGGCAGTTGTGCATCTGCACACAATAGTGAAAGGCTTAAGAATATTCGATTTATGTGTCTGCAAAGTGGTCCTTCCAACAACATTGACGAAAATAACAAATCAAAATTTCTGCTGCGAAACGGCACTTTTTTCTTCGTCTTTGACTCGCTTTCTTTCTTCTGGCGGTGTTAGAGTTTTCAAAAGTAGTCAGCAAGTGAGCCAGAAAGATGAAACAAAATGGTATTTGACTGCTGCGCAGCAACGCAACCACCGCGCACTCTCGATCGGCCGATCCCTATGAAATATGGAGATACCCTAAAGACAAGTGGCGCAACAGTTAAAAATAAATAAAATGATAGTTCTGAGCGGCAGTAATAGAGTCTCCATTTAGAACGAAGTTGCCCTAAAATTTTGATCACATCGCTACTCAGGGTGCTGATAGAATTCATATATGAAGCGCTAAGCATTGAACTTGTGCTACCTCTTATCAACATTTCTAGAAGAGAAAGAAAAACCATATAACGAATACAAAAACGTAAAATTCTAAAATTATGCAATAGCATGTTTTGCAAGGAGAAAATATGAGTGCTTTAGGTACAATGAACGGAACGATGAAAAGAAAAATTTGTCCCGTGTGACATCAACTTTCAATTAACTGAGGTACAAAGGAGAAGATAAAAAGAAGAATGCATGAACAGATAATGCATGTGAGACCAGAAATAGTTCGATTCCAAACTTGACGCATGGTTACCAGTTACTAGCTAAGTTAATAGAAGATAATGCAACACAAAACAAAGGTGATACGATTCTAACTTCGAACTGTGCGCTTGTGCTCCAAGCAATTTAGAAAACGCATTCTAGTGCCCTCTCAAGTATTCTCATGCACAGCCCGCTACATGAAAAGTTCATGTAAACTCTGTAAACCGATATGCATCAAATCAATAGATAACGAAGAGGAGACGGCCGCAAGGATAACAGGTTCACAAAACTCGAGAAGCATTGGGCATATATTTTGTGTACCTAATAAGAACAATGCGAAAAAGGAATAACGATTAGATATAGTGGAAAATACGTGGATCTTCAACAAAGAAATTATGGAGCATGAGTATGTGAAAGTGTTTGGCCAAGTTTACTGAAACGGTAGGGCAATATGGGACGAAGAGCAACGACAAAATCGCTAAATCGAATGGCGTGTATGAATGAGTCACAGGGGCGTTCAATACGTAAGGAAGCCACATCATATCAGATGAAAAAAGAAGCAACTTTTGATTATTAATATCAGACAGGAATGTTCATGTGACGGCATGGCTCAATGACAATCTCAACGAAACAGGTTGAGTGGCCACCACACTCAAACAAAGATTAGAGCAAACGCTGGTCTTTTTTTACTGATGGACGTTCAACGAAACAGAAGCCGCAGCAGTAATGAATTAAAGACAACGAACGGTACAATGTGACCGCAAGGGTCACACAGGAGAAAATCAATACGCTCAAGCACTTAGCAGACTCCGCATTAGCGACAAACAGAGTGAACTTCCATGCCGTCCATACCACCTTTCTCCTCAGTCTCACCAGAAACTCATCGGCTGTTTCCCATTTCCGATCAGCCAAACGAATGTAGCAATATAAGCAGTGCCGTTCCCGGTGGAAGTCCAAAAACCGTAGCCGAAGACTTTCCAACGACGACATCCCACGATACGAGGGATAAACAGAAAGCGTGCGTATGTACGAACTCTCGTATCGCGTTCGTAATGGGTGCTTGCCTAACTCTTGGTCGAACATCGTTTGCACATTTCTTTCGACACCTCATAAATAATTTGAGAGCTTTTAGTGGATTTTTGAAGGGTTTTGAATCAAGTTTAAAAATTACGGGTTTTCGTAGTTTTTCACAATGGATACTCAAGGACGGAG